GGGCTAGGCCGATTGCAGTCCAGCCCCCTTTTATTTCTCCGTAGACCGGGCCTAAAGCCCAAAAACAAACTCAACGAAATAACTCTTGAAATTTCAATCAAAGCACTAATTTTAAGCCACTCATCCTCTCTCTCTCTCTCGTTCTTCGTTTTTCATCTTCTCTCGCCTAATACATCGGTTTTGCCGGGAGATAAAAGAAAATTACTTTCAATTAACTAAGTCAATTAGGCAAACCAACATCTCCAATTATGAACAAAAAAAAATGCAAATAAAAAAAATGCACGAATAAAATCAAAGCAAGAAGACCGGACCCCAAGTCGACCTTGAATGATTGAAGAACAACCCAAAAAACTCGAAAACGTAGAGCCCAAAGTTGCCGATTTCTCACAATTTTGAATCCTTATCGTTGATTACTCGTTCACTACACCTCGAACATAGGATATTTTCCCCCAACAAAGACTTAAACACCCTTCGATCGTCCTAAGAATCGATGAACCCAACCCGATACAGTGAAGAACCAAACCTAGAAAATAAGAACGACGATAACCTCCCCGAAACATGATGGATCGAAATGGAAGAATTGGACCCCAAAACTTGGACAAAGAAGTGGAGAAGAATGTGAGGATGGGTATTTAGTCCCTGGAAACACAAAGCAAAACACCGAAAGGGACCGATAGCCTATGAACTAAAACCCGTAACCCCAATAACACGATGAACGAAACCTAGGAACCCGTGAAAAATGCGATGATTGGAAATAAAAAACCAAGCCTTTTGCTCTCAATTTTCTAACCCTCTCAACCTAGAATTCTTCCCCCCAATTTCTTTTTTTTCGTTCGTCAAATTCAAAACGTTTTATAGCCCAAAATTTCCTATAATCAAATGTCAAATCCCGAATTTTTTTCAAAATATTTCCTCTTTAATTCATGATTAATGCAAAATCAAAACAGGAAATTGTTTGATTTTTTGTTAGTATTAATTCCGTCCAATAATCATGATAAATGCAAAATCAAAACATAAAATTTGATGGAGGATTTGGCAAATTTCTCCAAAGATTTTCGGAGAGAATTTGCCTTGGAGTGGACGACAAGTTGTCTTCTCCATTTCGGTCCTGTCATTCACTCCAAACTTTCGGTTTGGTCCTCGCGTTTCAATTTCAATAATTACGCCCTTCAATTGTATAATTTCAGCACAATCTCATCAATTAAGTCCTTGGGAGGTGCAATTTAAGGCCTAATTTTTTAATTGACTCGATTACACCCCTAATTACCTCAATTGTGTCCCTAAATGAAATTTTTTTGTGTTTTTTTCATCATTTTCTTTCCTTTTTTTTCTTTTCTTTTTTTTTTTTAGTAAAATTCAAAATAAATAAATAAATAAAACATAAATAAATAAATAAAAATAAAAATAAAAAACAAAAATAAGGAAAATTTTGGGTTATTATAATTAAATAATTTGAGGAATAGGGACTTGATTAAAAATATCTTCTTTTTTTTGTAGAAAACCATAATAAAATAAAAAAAATAATCATAAGGACCAAACTCGTAGAATTTTTTTCAAAATTCAAAAAGAACGCCGTTCATCCGGTAGCTTTTTTTTTCAAAAATTTTATTTATTTATTTGCTCTTCTATGTGATTGATTTTGTGGTCCAAAAATCACAAAAAAGGTAAAAATATACCAAAATAAAGATTCAAATGTGATTATGGCATACTAAGCTTTCTACTCCAACCCAAAATGATAATAATAAAAAACCTCTAAAACTAATTTTAATCAATCGAGAAAGTCCTCTTGTATTAGGTACCTACAAGACAAGTCTTCTTGGTTGGATGGAAGACCTTCTAATGCTAGAGTTAGTGGCCGAAAGATGATGAATTAATCTGAAAAGACTTCTATATTCTAGTTTGTACTAGTTTACATGCAATTTAGTAACGAGTATATGAGATATACATAATAGACCTATTTGAAAATTCATTTGAGAACTTGGTTACAATTCATTTGATGAAGTGTGTTGCATGTATTTAAAGTTGTTGAAGGGGAAGGAGTATTGGATGAATACTCTTATTTATCTTTTGGGAGTTCTTTCATGTATAGAAGTTGTATCTTTTTTTTTTTTTTTTTTTAACCTTCGAGATTTCTCTCCTTTGTATAGGCGAGTAGTGAAACCTTCTTGTATGGTCGAAAGAGCAAGAATATCTTTTCTCTCTTAAAGTTAGTGGAGGAACCAATAAACATTGGTGTTTTATTATTATTATGTTTGGCTTTGCAATATAGTTAATGCGGTTATGATGAGTGATGTTTAATTGATGTAATCATTATAGATTTTTCATTCAATATTTTTATCTTCCGAGTAATAATAGAAAAAAGCATCACCTTTTTTTTTTTTTTTTGACTGAAGCATCTCAAGGTAGGAAGATTCCAAAGTCTTCATTAAAGAGGATGTCGTTGGTGTTTTTAAGTGCTCTGGGCTTGCTTCATGGGTTAGTCCATTTTGTTGAGCTGTGGCCATTTATTGGGCCTAATGAGTTTTGGTATTGAGAGCCTTTAAACTTTTCTTGTTGGGTTGTGCTGGAAAAAAAAAATCTCTCCATTAAATAATTAAGTGGGTTTGACATATATGTCCTAAAACATATTGTTTCCAATTTTAACAGATGAAAAACTCTATAAATAGTTAATTGGGTTTGACAAATATGTTTGAATTTAATAGGTGAATAGTTCAAATAAATAATAACAACCATTTTTTGAACAAGTTTTGAATTTCTTTATATATAAAAAAACAAAGAAGAATGAATCAAACATTGAAAAATGTGATCAATCAAATCTATAAAAAGACAATAACAATCAATTTGATCTGGTTAGATTTATATAATATCTAGAAGGTAATTAATAAGTGACTCTTTTAAATTTTTAATTTAAAAGTGTTGATTAGGCAGATGATTATAGAGATTTGTTCAATTTTTTTTTTTCTGAATTTAAATTTTGAGTTAGCATGTGACGAAATTTATTTTATTTTATTATTTTATTATTTTTATGAATGTATCATTCGATGTAAAGGATATGCTTTTAAAATCATCCAAGAAGAAACTTAATTCTAATTGATTAGCAAATTGATCCAAAAATGTCTTCATTAACAAATAATAATAATAATAATAATAAACACTAAGTCTTCAAGTGACAGTAGAAACATTATGTAGTGCCCCTTCCGCGGAAGTACGCTTTAAGGTTCATGTTATTAATAATACTCTTACTTGTTCGTTAAAAAAAAAAAAAAAAAAGAAAGAAAGTAAGATATCTATGTTGATTTGCACCATTTGTGGGTAGCATTAAAATACAAAATATTGATATTGTATAGTTTCAAAGAATTAGTATGATGACGAAAAAAGGTTTTTTTTTAAAAAAAAAAATCAAATATTAAGACTAATATTTAAAAAATTAGTCATTTTCGATTAGCATGCTTATGCCAAACGAATGGTCTCTTATGGTCTCTTCTTTCTTCGTTCTCCAAAACACTGTGTTTTAATTATAGCACCTTAAAAACTATTCTGCTTCGGTAGTTTTAATAAAACTCTTTTTAAAGTCAACATATTTATTATTATCAATTAATGTAATTAAACCACTTATAATATTTAAAATAGACATACTTTAACCTAACCGAAAATTAAGGAAATCAGCCACTAATATTCTCTCTCTAAAAAAATTTCACCATTCTCTATAGGGATAATTATACTATAAGTATACCAATTTTTAATTTTTTTCTTCAATTGAATATATAAATTTTATTATTATTTTTTTTTTTGAGTTTTTTATTTTTTATTTTTTTGTTAAAATATCAATCAAGAACTGTCGTTATTTTTTTCATTAACTCGATGATATCTCTCGTCACTTTCAGAATAATAAATTATATTTTTGTACTTTTTTCTCAATCAAATATATAAATTTCGTTTGAATGCATCAATTTTTTCAATACTACCAATCAAGTATTTTTGTTAATAGATAATGTGTTTGAATATGAAATTATAATCTTGCTTTTTTTTGTTGAAGGAAACTTTCATTCCAAATTATTCTACAATTTTAAAATTTGACCAAAAAAACTATTTTTTAACTATAAAATCCTAAAATAAACTCAGTTAGGCTTTCCATTAAAAAAAAAACTTTATTAAGTTTTGAAGTGATAATTGAAGAAAAACACAAATGAATCTTCTTGAAGAAAAATATCATGTTTGCACTTCTTTTAACTTTCACACAAGTTCCATATAGAGAGAGAGAGAGAGAGAGAGAGAGAGAATATAATTTAGTATTCAAACACATCATTAATTAATGAAAAATTGACGAAAATACTTGATAAATAATATTAAAAAAATTAATATACTTCAACAAGAAAAATTAAATCTACATACTCGATTAAAAGAAATTAAAACTTGGTGTACTTATCACGCAATTATCTCATATTCTAATGCAATTATCTCATATTCTTAGAGATAGAGACTGATGATAGTTGATTTTCTTAATTAATTTCTGTTTTTTTTTTCAAGCACGGTACTTGGATTAAATTTGATTGATTAATTGACGTCATTACATTAAACTAGCAAACCTTTGTGATGGAGATGGATGAACTCAAACGTTTAAGTAAATGATTAACATGGATCAAAATGATGAAAAGAACGGATATGACAAATTTAAAAATACAAGAGCAAGAGGAGATTTTTTCTTGTTTTTGTTTTTTTTTTTTTTTTTCATAACCATTAATAAATGGTTATTTAATTTTTTTCTTATGAGAATTACAATTCCAAGATTAAAAACTACCAAGTTCAGATGGTTTATTTGCCTAAGAAATATATATATATATATATATATATATATATATATATATATATATAAATTTTTTCATCTCTATAATGAAAAGAAATCACTTTATGGTAATCAACAATCATCTCTTCTGTTCTGGAGATAGCACTTCATGGCTTATTTGCTTTCTTACAGGAATTCTAAGAATTTTTTATGGAAGCTAAATTCCATACATGAAACCTGAACCATGAAATTTCTCCCTTGTAATTGCGTCAATGCTTTCCAACATTTCATTGTTCAAGTAATTGATATGATCCCCAACATCTCCTTTCCTAAAGAAGGAACTAAATGGCAAATTCATCCATTGTGTATGCTCACTGGACTTGTTTACCTCATAGTTGCTCAGTTTCTCAAAGCTACAGTTTCCCACTATCTCATCCAAGACCTCTTCCTCGCCATCACCATTGAAGGGATTCCCCAAGAACTCTGCTAATCTCTTCACATGAGGCTTGGGCTCATCTTTAAGTTCTTCATAAGTAATAAAGAACACTTGCTCAGGCCTCTCCAAGCTCTCCCTCCAGTACCCCAAAACATGATCATAGTAAGGTCCAAAAGGGATCAACCCACTACAAAACTTCTTTACAGCCACCTCCAAAGGCCATGGGTCTTCATAACTCGTAGACTTCAACACAAATTGCCAGAATGATATGAGGGTATCCTTGGGGTTTCGAGTGACATAAACCATGCGACAATCTGATGGCTTAACAGTGTCCGCCAGGATTTGGTAAGGCAGATGAGTAGCAAAAATCCTGGCTGCAGGCGAATTGGTGCTGGCAAAGCTACTAAAAGATTGTGGTTGTGTTCCATCATATAATTGAATTTCTAATGTTGGTACAAGCATGTGGGGATGATTGGTTTTCAAAGAGTCTCTAGAAGAGCGATTGATGACGGAATACAAGAGAGCTTTGAGCCAAGTTGTGCCAGTTTTTGGGAAAGATGCTAAGATAACATCAGTAGGAAGCGGCTTGAAGTGGTCAAGAACCTGTTGGGTTCCTGGCAGGTATTGGAGTCTGAACCAAAATCCCTTCCATTGATAAAGTTTTTCATCTCCACACCATTTTTCTACGGGTAGTGATGAATCATAGTCCTCGTTTGAGCCTCCGTTCTCCATCGAAACTACACAAAAATTGCAGGATTTATTTAGTTAGCAGAATGTTTTATTAATTTGTCTAATTCATTTGAGCAACCAAACCAAAAGCTAATAGAACGACATGCGTGTATAAGCATAATAAGAAAGCAGCAGAAATTGATTTAAAAAACAAAAAGATTAATAATACTATTTGTAATCCGAGAATTCATGACCTTACAGCTATAACTAGCTACCTCACCAAGAAACAAAATAATTATTGTTTCTTTTGACACGAGTTTGCAAGTCACCTCCCTGCTCAATAGATAGATTATGCATGCCCCCCATTATTGCTTTATATAATTAATTCGGGTTGGGATTAGTGTTAAACTCTACATATTACCGACTCTCTCGGTACGAAGTTTTAATTCCATTAATTACCTTTGACACAATTTAAAATTTGCATTTCATGTCATATTTTTTCGAATTATTTTCTAATGTTATCATTTATTTTGTTTTAAAATGAAACTATGTCAAACTAATTGGAGAAATAATTAAGTTGGTGCATGAGAGACTTATTACGTACTTTTTACATATTAATGCACTATGTATGATTCTTTTTCCATACTAATATAACTGAAAGAGAAGTGACAGTTTTCATTTTTATGATAAATAAATTTGTCAGAAAGCCTAAATGTAGTAATATGAAATTATTATTGGAAAATTTCCACTTTTGTATTTTATTCTATTTTTTATTTGAATAAATAATGGAATATATAATATAAATATAAATGAGAGAACAACTGTTCGGATTAAAATTAAGAATTAAAAATAAGTTGTGATTAGAAGAATAACAAATTAAATAACCAAAGCAAATAATTTGATTTTTTTTTAATAATGGATAATAATTTTAGAATACAAATATTTCAATATAAAAAGATGGACAAACTTTATAGAAGGGAACCGGCTAATCGGTCCACTTAATACTCCCACTCTCCATAATTACTATGAATGGAGGGAAAAGGTACATATGGGGGCATTTGTTCCAAAGAATCTTAACTAAACTATTAAAGTTGGACAAATCAGGAAGCTGGTTTATCCGGTGACTTTGAAAAAACCTACTTTAAAGGGTACGTGAAATCCATTTTGTGTAAAAAACATGGACATAGTTATGGCTTAACTTGCTATTTGTGAAATCTAATAAGGAACCAGAATCATTTTCGTTGGATATCGTGACTCTGAATTTACGGAAAATTTTTTAACCGTTTCGGAAAACATTTATATAAAACGTAGGGACATAGATGCCTTATGATTATTATTATTATTATTTAAAGACACTCGAAATGGCCAACTTAGGTTCGGTATTGTTTGATATTAGTCAGCCAGCAAAGCTTAATTTCACATAGATTCTCCCAGAGCCAAAAGAAACAAGATAGAAAGTCCAACAAAAAGAAACTTCCCAGAGCAAAAAGAAAGAAGATAGAAAGCCCGACAAAAAGAAACTTTCGGGCTAGCCTAGCTAGGGTAGGCGGAGGCCAAATCTAAAACTTAATTTGGGATCCAAATTCACTTTTGAAAATAGTCGCATTTTTGTGACGAATTTACGACCTTACACGCGGAAGCGGCCCCAAATTTGGTCGCAAATTTTCATTTTGTTATGATTTGTAACCAATTTACGATCCCTATTCCAAACTCGATCCCCCACCCAAAATCTATTCTTTTTTCCTTTGCGACTAAACAAATACTCGAAATTTGAAGATTTTTAACTTTCCGCCTTTTTAAAACTTTTTATTTTTCAACCTTTCCTTCAGACACATTTTCTCTTCATCCACCTCTCTCACTCTAACTTATTCTTTTTCTCTCTCTCTCTTATTGTAATTCAATTACTTTCTATTTCAACTTATTCTGGTTCTCTTTATCTCTTGTACTTTAAGTCATTCCTTTATCTCCATCATTTTTAATTTAACATATTACATCTCAAGTTATTCTAGTATAAAAAAGTTTTGAGAACTAATCAAACAACGAGTTAATAGATCAATCGAATATAAAAAACTAATATTATGACTTATAAAAGCAATAGTCAACAATCTAAGTATCATGGATCTAAATAACAAGAGGAATGAAAGAAAGAGCAAGCAATGCTAGAAAGACACAAGTTAGAATAGTAGATAAGTATGTGATCAAGATCCAAACAAATGAAGTTTTAGGAGATGTCTAATGTGTAACTAAAAGAGCTTCCACAAAATAAAATTCTTCCCTCTCAAAAGGTGATTTGACACTAGAAATGATATGTCTATCCCTATTCAATATCTTTTTGTCAACTGGTTCTTGGAAGAGGGAATCAAATTAAATTCATGAAGGAAGGGCCTATGAATCAACAAGTGATAGGGCAAGTAAACATAAATGACATAAAAATAGATTAAGCATTGTATAGGTTTTATTTGAAAATCCATCATAACATATCCTTCGAGTTAAAAAATAAGTTTTGTCAAAAACTTTAAGAGTAGTTGGTGTCCAATTTAAATATCTTTTATCAATGCATAAATCTTTGAAAGTGGTAAGTGATATAATATTCAAGGAGGAACCATTATCAATGTGAGTCCTAAGAATAGAGCAATCATTCACTTTACTCCCCATAGAGTGAATGGTTATGATTAGTCTTCTCCACACAATAATAGTATTAGTGAATATCACATTATTTTTATGATTCCTTCTCATTTTCCTAACTATATAGTTGGCGAGCAAAACACTTGTCATACTATCTTTTAGATATATAAACAATGATTGTCATAGTTGCTTCTTTGGCTTTCTTATCAAAACCCCGGAGATTGAAAATGTAAAAATTTAGAGTTTTCAATAAAGATTGTATAATGGAGGTATCGTTTTCATATATCTATTTCACATAAGATAGGGTATGGTTATGAGTAACTTGATAGATTTTTATGTCAAACTATAATATCCAAAAACTTTGCATAATAATATATTGTGTGTGTGTGCATATGCATACAAATATACTTAAATTATGTATTCAATTTAATATTTTTATTTGTTTAGATGATGTAATGATTAGGTATGAAGTCTTTGGATATAATATATATTTTGGGTATTATAAATTATATTTTTATAGATAGAAACGAGTCCTACAATCTTAGCCTAAGCTATTAGGAATAAAATAATAATAATAAAATAATAATAATAATAATAATGAGTTTTAATAGCTTTTTAAATGGAATGTTAATGGCTATGAAAAGAGAACAAAAGTTTTGAAATATATATTAAATTAAAGAGAAGATATGAATGACCATGAAAGAAAAGAAAGTGGCCATAAAAGAAGAAGGTTGGAGGCCATTAAAGGAAAAAAAAATTGTCATGAAAGAAAGCCACTTAGTAGCCATAAAAGAAGAAGGTTAGTGGTCTTTTATTTATTTTTTTAATTCATGCACTTAAAATTCTCAAATGTTTTGGCTCTTCATGCCTATATATAGGGTATCATTCATTCTCCTCATTTAGGAAAGCCATTTTAAGCTTATACTTCAAAGAGAGAGAGAGAGAGAGAGAGAGAGAATATAATTGAGTAAGAAGTAAAGTCAAAGGTATTTGAAAAAAGATTCAAGTCTTGGTGATTAAATATTCAAGGTAAGAAAATTATTTAATTTGATTATTTGTTTTTTATATGATATTAGATAAAATTGAGTTGGCAATTTCATGATTTAGGATTGATTATATAAAAATTATATTTTAGTATTAAAATTTTAAATTTTTAGAAAATATTTGATGATTAAGTGCATTTAAATAATAATTGAAAAGGTTAAGTTAAACTTTAATAACATTAGATTATATAAATATAATTAAAAGAGAATTGAATAAATTAGAGTAGAATTGATGATTTAATTAGAGTTTTTAATTTAAAAGAAATTACAAGAAAAGAATAGGAATTAAGAAAAATTAAATGATTAGAGATAAAATAATAAAATTTAATTTCTTATGTTATATTGTGTGTATGTTCAAGGTATTGAATCAAGTCGCTATACTAATTTTTAGAGAAAGCTTACAATAAATAGTGGTCTTAAAAGAATGAAGTAAGTGTAACTCACTCGCATTGTAGACATAAATGTTATGTGATTTTATGTGATTGATATGATGTGATGGTCTTAAGGTGTATTCATATGCATACATATGTTTTGCATGTTGATTGAAAGAAAATATTTGAAGTAAATGAATGAAGTCTTTTTTAATGTATATTGAGATTTAAATGTTGAGATTGACTATCGGGGCATAAACATTGAGGTCTAACTCGTTAAATATTGAGGTTAGTGTTTTTATACATGTTTTTATTGAGACTAGACCCTGCTAACTAGTGTTAGTATCTTCTAGTGGGCTAAAATGAGGAAAGGAATTTTGAAGACATTACTTATTGGGATATTCATATCTTATGTCTATTCCGTGGTGTAGGTAATGATGCAAATGCTAAGGATGTTGATGTTGCACCCGGTGACCGAGTGACTTATATGCCTGCCTTTGCATGTACCTAACGAATAAGTTAGACTTTAAATGAATATTTATTTTTAAAATAATAAATGTAAGGATGTTAAACTTATGAATGTTGAGAATTTTTTTCTTAGAATTTGAGTATGAATATTAGGACAAGATTATTTATCAATGTTAATTATGATGAGAGATATTTTTATGAATAATGAAATTTTAGAATAAAAATTTCATTATGTCAATGAGAAATCTTATGCCTATATATTATTAATGAAATAATTTAAATTGATATATTTAAAGACAAATAAAATTAAATTATGAACTTAATTTTAAGAAAACTAAAAGGATATAGGTTTTAGTATCGACCCGTTCATTCGTAGCCCTTTAGGTGAGGCGTCTTGGTGGTTGAGCATTACAAAGTCGTATAAAAAAAATAGCTTATATGGAATTAATTTGGAAATAAAATTATTGATTATTTTGGAATGAATAAATAAGTATTAAATTTTTTATGTATAATGACCAACATGAGTTTGAGGCCCGACAACGACATCAACAAGTAA